GTTACTTTGTACAGACCAAAGGTCAGTTTTATGTTATTTGATACGGTAACATGAGTGCACGTGAGCCACGTCATTGTAACTTCTATATTGTTAGCCAGGAACAGGTGAAAGGTCAATATAATAAAAATAATAAATATATATATAAATGTATAACGTTATGAGATTTAAGCTATTTCATCTAAACATTTATGTTTTTGTGTTATAATTTGTGTTCATTCTAGAATGAAAGAGGCATAATTTATGTTTATTTCCTAATTTTTTATGGTGGTTGCAAGATCGATCAAATCTACCGCACCCGTACAGAGATTAATTACTGAAACTAACAGATATGAAGTTTTTCTTAAGAAATATTTGATAACTATTTAGACATTATAAAGATTTTGCATGTGAAATTGCAAAATTTTCTGATGCATAAAAGTAATTTTAATCTTAAAATGAAAATTACTTTGCATGTTGGATAGTCAAGATGTGAAAAGAAAAAAAAAGGCATGAAAGAAACATTGCTTTACATGCCTTATGACTTAATAAAAAATTAGATATTTTGTATATCAAAGCATTGTAAAGTTTATTGATAATCTGCCAAATTTCGTTAACATTCGCTTACTAAATTAAATGTTATAGAATGACAACTATAACAAGCACAAAATGGTTTTGACGTCACCACATTGACTGACCCCGTATTGAAAGAGATAAACAGTGCTATACCACTGTTTCCTAAAAAATTATTCTAACCATTTTTCCTTGAGAAGACTGATAAAGTCTAGTTTATTATATAATCAAAAGTTTTATTCTATCTACTGATTAAAAATGTAAATAATTATTTCTGAAAAATAAGACTTCATTTTTCCTTTTGATGTAAAATGTGAGTTTACACTTTAAAATACACCTTATCACAATTATAGCCCTACAACCTATTCAATTAAACCCTTATTAATTATCTATAATAAACTTTAGATCCACCAATTGATATGTTTGTAAACAAAGAATCAATGACTGACCATCTTTCTTTCATTTATGTTTTAGTTCATTTTATTGGAAAATCTATATTATTCAAAATCTATGAAAAGAACTTTTCTAAAGCAGTAGATGGTCATTGTGCTAGCCATTTTCCATATTCCACACAGAAAAACTCATTCATTTATAGATGATTAAGAGATCAGATCAGACTGGAAGGTCCGAGAGATTTGTTACGACCTGTTAATTTCTTGAAAATTAGGTTAGGCTTTACTTTCTTGTAAATGTTTTTGTCCTGCAGTAAATACTGATTAAAAAACTTTCCGTCATCCAAGTAAATACTGTAACTTGTACCGTTCTCGGTAGTATTGGCCTGTACCATACTACAATTTATATAGCATAAAGGGACAAAGGTTTTCTAACAATTTCAGTAATGTTATGTAGTCTAGAAATTTATGCAAGTAACACTGACCACATTGCTTATACAATTGTGGAATGTACAATAGGATATAAAATACCTGAGACCCTTCCCTGGTACACAGTTTGGAAAGCACTGCCTTATACAGATAAAACTAGTGACAAAGTATCAAATGAATACACTGAAGACAGTATAATAAATTGCTACTTAAAAAAAACAACTTTAGCGTTCCATGATTTGGAAAGAAATAATTAATAAATGTGACTTAGAAACAAACATTATATCTCATTAAATGAAACAGCAAATTTACGAGCAAAGTGAGTTGGGGTATTTAAAAAGCCATAGCAGGAATTTACAAGCATTTAGTTCACTTTCCCACCTAAAATTGGAAACTTAGTACTTCCATTTCTTTTGTATAGTATGGCCTATTAACATTTTTGATACCATTGTTTTATACTGATTTCATCTTTTATCTTTGGCCACAAAATAGCTACACATAAATATATATTTTTATTATCTGAAATGAAACATAGTAGCAATGAAATAGTTAATTCTTCTCTATATAATACGTTTGAGGATGGAAGTATTTTTAGGAACACCATTATACTTTCTTTCTAGCAATTCAACAAATATCATTTTTCCTGAAACATACAACTTCACAGTTATTGATTTCATTCACTGGATTTACTAATGAAACACATCCATGCCACTTAGTGAGCTATAAAGTAAGAAATTTAATTTTTAAAGTAACAAAAGTATCATACATTATCTTCCACCTAGTTACAATCTGTAAAATGAAATTTACAGTGTTAACAGTCCATCTTACATAGAGAGTTTAGATGTTTTTCATTTGTCAAAATATTATGATTTTTAAAACTTAGTATTTTTCAAAATGAAATAAAATATAAATTATTAGCAAATTAATTCTATTGTATTACAATCATAGAATGGTTTACAAATGATTTAATGAAAGTTCCTTCATGATTTTTATAAACTTTTAGATGCCCTTGGGGCATTTAAATTATGGTTATATGCATATAAGATCAACTTACTTTGAAACATTTAATGGTCTATCAATATTTATATATTTATATATACGGTATGTTATATATATGGCACTTAATACTGTTTGCAAAACAACTTTAGTTAGAGTTGACTTTCACGTAATGATGTAGAGTTGACCCTTAAAGAACTATTGGTTACTGAGGGAATTTTGATAAGATACAATCATGATTTTTGATCATTTATCTCTGTATATGCAAAAGCCACTGTCTGTTTGTAACACTCGGTAATGCTGGATTTATTTTTATTCATTTAATTGATAAGTGATCATGTTTAGAACAAGCTCTTCCAATATGCAGAAAAACACAAATACCATGATATTATAAATTAATATTTGTTAACATTGGATTTCAAAGACTGGATGTCAAAGTGACTCAGTGGTTACAGTACTCTACTCTCTTGTGGAAGTCTTGCATGGAAATCCCAGTTGAGACAAAATTTAATGTTAAATGATTATATTTTATTTTTAAATGATCATATTTTCAGCAACCTCTTTCAATACCATTATATGTTTAATCAGGGATTTGAGATATTGGTTCAAATTAAAAGATGGCTTGTTTACAGCATCAAGCCACCTCAGCTTTCCATTTCAAATGAACACTTCTAATACCATCTATGAAATAAATACTAAACTAAAATTCTGAATAAAACTAAAAATACTTCAGAAAAAGTGCAAGAAAGAAAACGTTGCTTAACAAGAGAAATAATAAGTAGATGGTTGGCATGGCAAAAATCAAGAAAGCTTAGCAAAAAGATACAGATTCTGGCTCCCCAACATCTTCTCCATGCATTGAACGGGTAAATCAGCTAGTTTAAAATAATTATGACTAACAATGAACTCTCAAGAATAAATAGAATACAAGGCATATGGTTAATACCTGCAAAAATAAAATTCTTACTTCGATCTCCACTGACATTTGGTGAACTGTGAGAGCCAACTTGGCGGAACTCAGGATCCCATATCGGAGAGTTAGCTCCATAAACTTCTTCCTCCAACATTGAAAGAAACCTGTTGTAAAATAATTAATTTAACAGTGAGTCATAGTTGAATAATGGCTTTTAAGTAACCTTCGTATTTACAGGAAGTCCTGTAGTAATTAAAAGTACATATCACTTTGACATACTTTACTCAATAAGTAAAAAAAATTAGATAAGCAGAAGCATATTTCAGTGTGAAATGATTAAAGTCCTGATCAACACCACCATGACACTTGAGTTATAGTCTCACCCTTTCCTCAAAATCTAGTACCAATTCAAACATTCCACTTAAATGTGAAAATAAAAAATTTCGAAATGTCATTGTTATAGGTGTAATGTCCAAGTTGGTGTACAAGTGCAATTTAGGTTTGCAATGCTTCAATAGTGACAAAGAATTGCAAACTATTATACCTACTTATATAAAATTTGGTTAAAAATCTCTAAACATTTGTGAACTAACATAAGAAAGATGTGCATTGTGTCACACATAACCCACACTTTCTTGAATCTAAAGTTCAATGAATGCTACTTTGTGTTAAAAGTAATTTTTCCTATTATTTTAAATTATATCCTGCCAAATCTAAGCTCTGTGTAGCAAAAAATTTTATAAAGATATAAAAATGTTTTACTGTTCCACATTTTCTGTTTACACTTGATTTACAGTTATATACAAATCACTATCATACTGAGATATAAAATGTTGAAAATATTTTAAATAATATCACAATTTCACTAAATACTGTTGCTTGAAAAGCTTCATTTTATAAGGATAGATGTATACTTTCAACTAATTTAATCTAAGTAAATAATGATTTTATGTTATTTTGCTCATTTTGAAAGTCGTGTAGTTACCAAAAAAATATACCACTGTTACATGGTTGCAGTGCAATATGCACCAATCAATCACTCAAGTTCATGGTTGTTGATTTTTCTGTCAATATAAAGACAGTAGGTTAACAGAATTTACTTGAATAATTATGAAGTAACAGTGATGCTTCAAAATAACAAAATGAATTTACTATGGCTAATATAAAATGCAAACAATTGCTTTTGAATATATTACATAAGGGAACCTCAGTATTTTTCTGAACTTCTGAAAAACACTAAACAATAAATCAAAACATTTCATTTTTTCAGTTGGTAACAGAGAAAGAAAATAGATTGTATGTTAGCTTTTAAATCATGTAAACACAAGTCATGTATATTACAAGTAAAGGGGACACTCTTCATAAATATTTATGTTAGGCTTGTGAATTTTTAAAAGTAGTAATGCTCTCTTAATTTTTATATTGTGTATTTCTTTTCCTTTATGCAATATCTTTATGTTTTCCTGACTTATTTTATGGTTAAGTTTTTTTTTATGTTCTTATTTACATATGATGGTCCTTTAAAGTACTTGTTTAATCTTGTTCTTTAAAGTTCTACTAGTTTCTTCAATATATATATATTAATAATTTTCACACCTAACCCTATGTACACATATGGGGTCAAAGTAGACATGCCATGACCTTTTACAGAGCATCATTTAACATTGAAATACTGCATTTGATGACAGAATTATCAACTATTCATTTTACCCTAAATTTAGATGTGAGTAAATACAACAAACAATACAAAAGAATACTGAAAAACTGCAGGTATGCATTTTGAGGGTTCTAGAGGTTATGCAAATGAAATACGCAAAATTTTACAGTGAATAAAAATATTTTTATTCTTCACATGACCATCACCTTGCACTTTGACTGAGAGTCTGAGTCAGACTTATGCTGTCAATTCACAGATGTATCTTGAATACATGTAGTTTGTAACGCATCTGATTTTCTTTGTAAAGCAGACTTGTACATTTTACTAAAAGTTTGCCACATTCTGCATGTATACATGAATTCATATCAGAATTATAATCAACATACCTTCTGCACTGATCCTGTGCATGTGCAGTTAATTTGAGAGATATATCCATATGTATATTCCTCATTATGCTTGTTTAGTAAATGGATTTCATAAACAAATAAAAACCAATAGTGAAAAATTTCTACAAAGTTACCAAATCATAAAGAAACTAGTTATGAAGTTCAGATGTAATACAGTCAATGTTTGAAGTTATCAAAAATATATGCCTTTCACCATTAAACTGTCCAAGTAAATTTTATTTCACAGCATAAATTTATTGTACTGAGTTCATTGCATGGTATTTCACATAGTGCAGATAAAATATTGAGATATTACAATAACTCTAAATATAAAGTTGATAGGAAAATTCTGACTACATTTTTGAAATCAGCACCATCAAATTACCTCAAATCACTCGAGTTCTCCAGTAGCAAATTTTTTGTTGTCCAGTGTAACTGATCATTGAATGTACCCAATTAATCAGCCCAATGATTAATCTATTAGCATATTCCAATAACTGCCCACCCTTAATGAAGACTAAACAACTGAATCTATTTACAAAATTAATTGTGAAAACTGTGAATCTGCCATGAGGAGGAGCAACCATCTAACCTCTTATGAGGTAAGTGGGGTAGTTGGACCCCCCACCACTAATTTCATACTGATAGAATTCTTGAAAACAGTATGTCTTTCTTTTTCAGTATTGGTACCTTTATGTATTCTTATTGCAATTTTAATATTTATTATGTTAAGGAAAAAAATAGAAGCACAATTTCCTACCCTTTGTTACAAATGAGCTTTTACTTCACCTGTGCAACAGACAAGTAATCCAGCTAGTACTATATATATTGGTGAAAGTAATAGAAATTTATAACAAAGATTTAATAAACACTTAAAAGGACCATTGTATGTAACTGAGCTCATAAAAAATTAAACACAAAATTAAAGATATAAACAAAGATATATAGGTAAAAAAACACGAAATACACAAAATAAAAATTATGAAAGTATTATTAACGAAAATTCACAAACCGAACATAAATATTTATAGAGGATGTTCCCTTTTCATTTATTGGATTCCCTCTATCACACATTCGTTAACACACTTAAAAACCAACAACATTCTAATTCTATTCTCTCTGTTTTACCAACTGAGGGAGCTTTTTTGAAGAAGCGAACAGTTGTTTAAGCTGTGAAAACTTCTCTCAAACTTTTCAGAAGTTTAAACAACTGTTTTTGCTAAATGTTCAACTTGCACTCACATTATTTCTAAAACAATCTCTATAGCCAACTTTTAACCTTAATTCAAACACTATTTCCAATTGTAAATAAACATGTGCACGTATTGCAATGACAGCTAAATACCAACAAGTTGTAATAAGACTGCAAGATAATATAGTAGATAATGCAAAAATTAAAAACACTCGATTTAGGTTTTAGAATGTTCTCCTGATTGGATGTAATATGATATCAAATTAAAATATGTTAATTTATGAGGTTATACTGTTATATTAAATGCATAAAAACAACGAGAAAAAATATATCCTATTTCTCAAAAGTGGTTTAAAAAAAACATATCTGGTATTTGAGAAAATAATTCCTAATTTGGGTTTCAACTATGAACTTTATGTTTTCAAATATTATGATCTTTGAAGATTGGGAAAAAAATTAAGCCCTAGGATTTGCTTACAAGATTAAAAAAAAAGGCATAAACATATTCTTATATTCATATGCATAAAAAGCAAGAAAAATGTATTGTTTATGTCATTTTCACAAATCATGTACAAAATTTAGTAGGAAGTTATAAAAATATTTTAAAAGATCCCATATAAAACTCACATTCATTGTAACCCAAACCTCAGAATATTATACGTGCCAAAAAGATTTTCACAATTTAATTTTATATGAAGTACAAACAGGTAAGCTTATTCTAATAATTCTAGCAATATTTTTGTTTGTGAAATAGTACAAGTGTTCAATTCTTTCTTCTGAAGTAACATAAGAGAAACATACCTTGGAAAATGAGTAAGAACTAGAGTACGTTTTTCAGGTGGCATCTTATCTTTTTCTGCTCGAAATTTGTCTAAAAGTTGTCTCCTCATAGTTTGGAATACAGACCTCAATAAAGTTCTCCCAAAAATAACTGTTGTGTCATAGTGAGGAAGACTATCACAAAATGCAGGGACATGGCAGTAGCAAAGCCATCTATAAAATGAAAAATGTCTTGAAAAATACCAGTATAGAAGCAAGTTTCAGACACACCCACAGCCACCACATTGTGATGCCTCTGAAAATTCAAAATTCAAATGTACAATTGAAGAGAAACGTATGAACAGAATGAATTTCTATATAATGATAAGATACTTAAACAAGCAAGGTTATAAGGATAAAATATAGTTCTCTGTTTTATCATTTCATTAGCCACCACAAAATGAGACATCAAGCTATCATTAATTTCGAAGAAATGTATACATTAGCTGCTACTTTCCATATCATTAACAAAAGCATTAATGGTACTCTTCTCACTGTGGCTTGAAAATAGCCAACTGGTTTTAATAACATCTAATTCTGTTAATCCTCCCTTCCTTGTTTCTGGAATCATCAGATAAATATAGCACCTTTGTGATCTAAAATGTATCATAATAAAACAATACTCATAGGACTACTTATTTCAACTTTAAGGAAATGATTCCAAGACCTTTAACAACAATAACACTAGCTTGCTGGTTCCCAAATACTTTTGAACGATGAGTAAAGTCAGTTCAAGTAAAAATAAATAATAATAATAATTAATTGGTGCTAAAATGAATAAACAATATTGTGATATTAATCCGTACCCTAATTCTGATTTGTAAATGACTCATAAGAAATTGATAATAATTATACTTCACCGACGTATTCTAGTTCACATCATAACAATTGTTGTTTGTGCAATTTGATAACATAAATAGCATGACAACAAGTATTATGTCTGTCATATCCTAGCCTATCTGATGAGCCCTTGTATTAAGTGGAAGGGCTCTTTGGCTTTGGATATCGCATATATACTGTAGCTGACATATTATCATACATTCTTATTTACTTTCACTATCAAGTTCCTTGAAATACTGATCATCATCATCTATTATAAAGTAGAAATTAAAAAAAGCATACTGGTAGTTTAAATTCGATGACGAGGATCCACTTTGAGACTCATAATGCTTGGAGATGCCTTGAAAGGGTAATGAAGAAACTCTTTAATATAAGTTTAACACAACAGCAAATGTACAACGTTTCAACAAGGTTTTGATGATGTCAAAACATTGTACAT